TGATCAGCATGGAAAAATACTATCAGGTTAATCTCCAAATGCATGTACTTTCAGCTGGTGTAAATTTGGTGGTTGTGTGAGCGTGGAGAGCTCCTCACTATGCTAACGTCATTTGTAGGAATGTCCAAAAGGTTGCTTAGTTAAAGAATCTGATTTTTTTTTCTCTGTAACAGCTACAATTTGATATTTGCTTTTTGATAAAATCTAAGTGTTGCTGAGTATTTCTGATATGAGTAGGGCAGAGGGCTTATTTGTTTTTTCTAAGTCTGGCTTGTGTTTGAAGCTTTTCAGACTGTTTGTTAACCCTGTTAATGGACAGAACAGGGGGGCACTGTACCTGTTATTGCATACCTACGTCATTTGGGCTGCTGGGCACTTAACTGACTCTAGAGAAGACATCTTGTTGCTATTAACTGTAGGCTTGTGCTGCAATATTAATGTGAAGTGGGGTAAATAAGAATTAAGCATTAGCCTGTCCTTTGTTACCTGAGTCGAGAGAAGTGGCCTGAAACTAAAGTTTGAGAACAAATTGTGCTATACTGATTTAAAATTAGCGCAAACTAAATCATTCTTTCTGTGAAAGAGGAACTTCTAAGTGTATGTGTCTGTAGGCACGTGCACAGCCCTGTTAAGACTGTGTTGTTGAAGATGCAGATCCTCTTAGTGTTGGAACCTGCCAAAGGCTGAGTCAAGGACACCTGTCTGGGAGTAAATAAGGAACACTGCAATTCAAAACTTGTTCGTGACTTGGGCATCACCCATTTCTATAATGTCTTAAAGTTCGGCAATTCAAGGGGCACACATTTCTGGATTTAATTGGTTTTTGGTTGTTTTTTTTACTGTACCAAGCATGTTTGTACTTCAAAAGATTGGGCTCTCATTCCCAGCAATATACAATTGCATGTGCAATCTTGGCTCATGACTCTTTAGCTTTCTGTCATCAGTATATTCCTCCTAAAACCTTTTATTTTTTTTTCAACTGGAAAAGTTTTAACACTTGTGTTAACTCTGTCATGGAACTTCTGAAGCAAGCAATGAATCCGCTTGTGGTAAAGAGAAAAGAGATGCGATTTCATGTTAATATTTCAGACAAGTCTTCTAGAAAATGCTGTCATATGAATGAGTTGCTTAAATGACTGTAATGCACATTCATAATGAACCATCAAAAATACATAGTGAATTTGAGATGCCTTTAAAGTGTCACTTTTGCCTAAAGAAGTTTTAGTTTCCAAAGTTAAAATTTACTAAATAAAATGGAATTGTTTGGGATTTTTTTACAGTGTTAATTACTTTCAGATGAAAGTTAAAATGTTGGTTTATTTTGAGGGTGGGAAAACTCTCTTCAATAATTTGTTTTTACCTTGAAGGTGTGGAATACTTGATTGTTAAGCAACCCAATCACTAATAAGGTAGTGTGTTTAAAATGTCAAATCTGTGATCATACCAATACAGTGGTTTTTGTTAAGACTGGACTGTCTTGGGTACAGCAACCCACAATTCAGTGCAATGTTTATTGGTGTTCAGAACAATGTTATCACAATAAACAGACTTAAACTAAAATTTCTCTTTACTTCGTGTTTGGTCATTCCATTATTGTATTTCTAATTTAGTGAATACAGGGTTATTGAAATTGTATTCATGTTTAACATGGAATTCTCTTCTAAGGACTATGATACATTTGCTTTCTTTCACACTCAGTTTACTTTTCTTCAGAGTATTTATACAGCTGATAAAAAATTGCTGTCATCAAACTTAACTTTTGTGGCAGTACCAATACTGGGTTATAACTATAATGAAAGGCAAACATGCACTTGTAATATAGAATATCAGGTAACAGAGGCATGACTTGGGAATGCACAATCTGCCTTGAAAATGTTGTAACTGCATAGTTTGAGCTCTGGTAAATGCCCTAATTTGGAGTTTTATCCTAATTCCATCAAAGTTAACTTTTTCCTTTCAAGGCAAAAAGTATTGTCTTCTACAACAGTTGTTGAATTGTTTGAGGCAAATATTGGGAGACCATCTTGAAAAAGAGACCTCAGGCTTTAGTAGAAACTGATTTTCCTGGTCTCTTGCTGTTATTGGTAAATACAACTAATTAGCAGCCTGCATAGAAAACCTGACTGTTCAGTCACATGTAAAAGTAGGACAGGTCTGCATGAAAGCTTCAGCGATGCTGTGCCTTTTGGTTCTTCTGTGGTGTCATTTGTGTTGCTGTGCCCAGCACCCATTTGCTCTCCTTGTGCCTGGACACAGAGCTTACTGCTGGAGTTGTACTGTCTCCTGCATTCCTGCTGGTTTCCCCCATGACTTTGCTTGTAAGGAAGTGTGCCAGAAAGATATGGTTCTCACTAAACATTCAACTTTAGTCTGAATTCATCTGAATTCTGCTTTAAGGACCAAGTGGCTGCCAGTCTGACCCCAGCACCAGGAGGTGCTGCACCTCATGTCTTCTTCCGAGTTAAGTCTTTTGTTCCAACCTTTCCCTGCCGCCTTCTTTTCCTTCTCCTTCCTGCCTTGCTGTTCTCTAACCTTATATTCCCCATCTCTGATGGTACTTCATGTGTACATGGTCTGGGGAGAATAAGCAACATAGCCTGAACTGCTCAACCTAGAACTGGCTAAAGGACAGGGCAGGTTTGGCCATAAATTTCTGATAAGGCCCCACTGTTTTGGCAGTAGCCTCCCTCCTCCAGCCCAGGCCCTGGTGGGAGGCTGAGTGCTCCAGCCAGCATCCCTGCTCTCCTCGTGTAGGAATGGTATACCCAATTTAGTGTTCCCATTTAAACACTCCAGTCCACTGGCTGCTTCCTCATTTCCCCCCCACCTCCCCCTGCAGCAGGATGGAGAGGAGAGTGGGAGGCACGAAAAGGTAAAAATCGCATGTTGAGATTAAGAGCAATTTAGTGGAAAACAGCAATGAGATGAGAAAGCAAACAGTAACAACACCAACACTACAACTAGCAGCGTGTGTGCACAAGACAGGTGAAGAATTCACATGCAAGTGCCACCCCGGGCCACCAAAATCGGAGAAACTCCCTACCCTTCTGTCCCCCCTGCCCATGAGGGGAGGTGCTATTGAATAACCCCCAGGGTCCTGGCTGTGCCCCTCCTGGCTGCTGCAAAAGTTAACCCTGTCCTGGTCAGAACCAGGACAAATGCAAAGGCCAATAATTGGTAAAAATGAACAAACCATACAATAAAAAAAAACCAAAACAAGCAAACAAACCCAACAAAAATAAATCTATAAAGCAACCAAGTGCTGTCCCCATATGGCAATGGAGACTTACTTTCCATGGAACCCTCTGTGCATTCCCCACGCTCCCTTACATCTTGGACTTCCAGCCTCTCTGATACCCCCCACAAGGAGGGGGCCATGGGGATGGATGGCTGCCCGCCTTTTCAGTCACTGGGAACCATACTGTGTGCCAGCAGGATGGATGAGGGGAGCGCATCCCGAGTGTGGGATGTTCAGCAGCTCAGCTCTCCTGGGCATGGATGGCCCTTGTTCTGTGTGCACGTGGAGCAGACACAGAGGCTTGCCGCAGCAGTCACAGGCTAAGCCCTCCAGATGCAGGTCCCAAGTCTTTGCCACTGCCATGCTGGGGGAGCAGAGGGGCCATCTCAGGATCTCCCAAGCCTGTAAGTGTTTAAGAGGCATTTGGACAATGCCCTTGACAACATGCTTTAGCTTTTGTCCAGCCCTGAATTAGTCAGGCACTTGGACTAGATGATCATTGCAAGTCCCTTGCAGCTGAAATATTATCAAGGCAGTGACTGAGCAAATAAGATGGACAAGAACTGTGTTGGCATAACTTCTGTGTACTACAAAGCCTACGTAACAGTGCTTGACATTGAATAAACACTTAAAATACACAAGTAAACCTGATTGAGAAGCCAGAAACTGCAGTTTAAAAGGTGGCGAAGAAGAGAGTGAAAATTCTGGCTTAGTGCTGCTGTGTTCCCTGGAAAGCAAAAGAGCATCGAGGCATTACATAAGAGGTAGGCTTTATTGGGACATATCTGCAGTTGTTTTCCATCACACAGTTTTCTTCATGTTCCTGGATATTACTCTCTCTATTTATATATATGCACATGAATATACATATACACATACATACCTAAAGCATACTCTCAAATGTGCTGTTCCTTTTTGCTGAAGAATTTTAGTAATGTTCCTTTTTTTCACAATCAAGATAGCAAAATAAATGCCAAAAGCTGCTTATGTAGGACATGTTGCAAGATGTTCTTTGAAGTCTCCCATATACAAAGAATTGGCAGAGCTGCTGTTCTGCATCTCGTCTCAAGTCTCCAGAGTATGTTGCAAAAAAGTTGGTGTTGGCTCAAGCACAAGTCTGCCTTGTGATGACAGGAGGCTGCCCCCAGGTATTCCTCATGACTTGATGATTTGAACTCTGTGCCATTATCTGGGAGCAACCAGCAGCCAATATGTGTACCTGCTGAGCAATTCTCACTGGAGTGCACATTCCTCCCATCTCCAAGCTGAGACCATAAGTGCATTTGTAGTTTTAGTGAAATACATCTGTATCCACTACTGGACTAACACAAAGACTTAGTTAAATCAGCAGGTAACACTGACTTCCAAATGCATGTATCCTCAGGAAACAGTTTAGTCCAGCTGGAAAGCTGGAGAGCCCTTTACTTCGTATTCTCCATGCATTTTAAAGCTGCACTGGGCATTTTACTTTAAGTTGCTTTCCTGTGCTTTCCACTTACAGTTTGCTCCATTTCCTTGACTATTTATAAGTTTTCTTGATGGGCTGGTTGGCTTCACCAAGCCGAATAGTCTCAGTGGCACTGCACAAAGTTGCTGCAACTAACATGGTGTACACTGAAAGGAAATGTGGTGGAATACCACAGACAATCCTCACTGTTTTGAGTGCTCAGCATAGAAATGTTTTCAGAAGTCTTAACAGCAAATTAAAATGATGAGGTAGTTATCAAATTAACAGCAAATTAAAATGATGAGTAGCAAAAAGATATACTTTTTGCTGCGAAAATTGGCATTCCTGCTTTGCTGCATGCATTCCAGGGGATATGACTGATTTATATGTCACCTTGGTGCTCTAGGATACGTTCAGCAGAGCTGAGTCTCTCTGACTGTCAGCATGCTGGCTTGTCTTCAGATGTTCTGCTGCTAATGACCTGCCCGTGGGAATTCACCTGTCTCACAAATGATGCTGCCTTGGAGACTCTGCTGGCTTTGATATTTGGACAGTCTCTGTGGAACCGCCCTGCCTCACGCCTGGCTCCAGGAATGTCAGACATGTCTGCCTGTACAGCTTCACCTGGTATGGTTTGGTTTTCTTCCTGTTTCAATGTCAAACAAGAGCACCTGGCACAACAGATACTGTATTGCCCAAGAATCTTGTAATTCTCATACAGTGCATTATAAAACTACTTACAAAGCAGATCTAAAAGGTGTCACTGTGATCTATGAAACAGGCAGCATTCCTGCCTTACAGCCCCCACCTACAGGATTTATTTTTTTTAAGGCTTTCTCCATTAACAGATGCTTCCTATATAAGCTCCTGGATGCTCCTAGATGTGGTAGTCAAATTACAAACCTACAGTGAGAATGTTCCTTTCAGTGCAGGTATTTCCATGTTCTGCTGCTGATCCTCACCAAAGATGTGAAAGCTCTGTCAGCAGGTTCAGAGTATTCTGGAGCAGGGCTCTTGCTCCTTCCTTTGAAGCTGGGCTGTTCTGTGTGGAGCCAACCCTCAGCAGGTCCATGAATGCCTCTGTGCTTGCGTGCCTTACAGCCCCTGCTTTATTAATGTTTTATCCAGGCACTCTCTGGAGCAGAGAACTGGAACTCAGGTTCCACTCTCCCTTTGCCTATTAAGGGGCTACAGCACTGTGGTCTTCCCAGCTGGATGAATATTTCACCTCTTAAGTTTCAGGAAAATAACCTCATTAGGAGGAATTGAGCCATCTACCCTGATTACAGCAATTATCAACGAAGTGGAAATTAAGGGTCAAGTCCCCCTCAACAAAGGCAGGAATCTAAGACAGAGGTTCCTTGTAAAAGGTCATAGCTTTAGCCACCCACACCGCTAGAGATGAATGGGAAGCTATCCCTGAAAGGTCTAAAAGTATCCTCAAAATACGCTGCTGAGACTGGGCCCTGCTGTAACACAGTTTAGGGAATGCTTTACAGCAGTGTACAAATACCAGTTACTCTGCGTTATGAGGGCTCCAACCATTCCAGCACAGGCATCAGCAGATTCTGGGCCTAAGGAGAAACTTTCTGGTAGAAGACTGGGCTTGTGAAGATTTCTGAATTGGATTTAGCAATCTCCCAGGGCAGTTAGGTAATAATTAAATGATACAACTTTTGCAACTCAGCACTAAACTTGCACTGCCAATTCTTAAAAATTTCTCACTTGGCGTGGGCGGAAAAAAACCGTTGTGCTTGCCAGCTAGGTCTCCCTAAGCACTCAGCTCATTTTGTTTATTTCCATGAGTCATTTTTAGAACAGGCAACAATAATCTAACAATACTTGAGTCACACATAGTCTGGAGCCAACTTCTTAGAGAACACAGCTTCCTTGAGAAGAGTGAAAAATATTCTAAAAGAAAAAATGCCTCCCTGGCTTTTATACATAACAAGAAATTACATTAAAAAAAAAAGAATTGGATGATATGCTTGACTTTTGAAAACACAGAAAACAACACTTCCTGTCTGTCCCTTCAATTTTGAGACCTAGAAAGACATGAAACAGAAAGGACAAAACAACACTAAGCCCCCCTTTAACAAATGTGTGGTTGCTGACTACATGCTAATGCCTTGCCCCCCCCAGCACAGGTCCAGAAAACACGCAGGGAAATGAGACAGAGGCGGCTCCTTTTATCAAGCTGTGAAGTGCAAGTTCACTGTACATCTTTGGCTACTAACAGCTGCTCTTACAGAAATAGCTTTCCTGCTACAAATACAGACAGCTTCTGCTTCTCTCTTAACACCATCATTTCTGATAATCAGGTCCAAAGAGATCTTCTCAAACCAGGTGCTTTAAAACTCCACTCACAATTTCCTTCCTGTGCTCGGAACTCCCCCAGTGCAATCCTAACTGCACAGGGACTGACTCAGAGTTCCTCTGTGGAGAGAAAGGTTTTTCTGCCTGCTTTTCTCAAAAGCAGTTCAGTTTCCAGGATGTGACAGTTTGTTGTGGGAAGGTCCCATCTCATTGCCTGGAAACACAGTTATTAGGAAGTATCTATTCCAAAGCTAAGCAACAAAGGCAGAAGTCTTCATCTGATCTCCTCAGATGGGATGGGCTTCAGCTATAAACATACTGTGCTGCTTACAGCACAGAGCACAGAGAGTTCCCTCAGCTAAAGGAATTGTTTGTTCTGAGGCTATAAACAGCTGTTCTGCATTTTTAAGAAGGAAAATATACTACACAAACCACTATGATAAATACAGCTCTATGTGGCATGAGTAGACTATTCAAAAGGCCAGTTGATACAAGAATATACAGGTGACAGATGAACAGTCTGGCATCCAGTAAGGCAAGGCTGGATTTTTTTTTCAGCCAGAAAAGACACCAAAATGCTGTCCCCTAAGAGCCAAAGCATCATTTTTGTTACCTCCACTGAGAAGTGGCTAGAATGAGAAATAAAATACTTGTGCCCCAAATGTGTTTGTGTGTTTAAGCTATGAAAGTTGTTTCATCCATATAAACAGATGCTGAGTGTTAAAACAAACTTCACCAATGCGAAGGAGGCTGCAGATGGTTGGTTTCTGCATTTGACAGTAATGACTAATAAGACAGTTTTCCTTTATCAACGATTTTTCCTCTGATTTGCACCAAAGACAAAAACTTCCCTCTTAATGCAAGTACTTTAGGAGTGCCACAAACAAACTTTGTAAATTTTTTTAAACTTTTCAAAATTACCATTTTCCTACCTAAGCAAAGATAATTCTGATTTTTCTGAACTGTTTAATTAATTTCCAGCAGCAAGCTTTAATTCCAAGAGCATCATGTTTAACTGATCCTCTTTTTTACTCCATAAATGGATAATAGCTGTTCTGAACCTTTCAGTAGTACCAACTGCACCTTATGCTCACATCTGCCCAGTGGAAAGCTGAGGCAAGTTTCTCCCTGCGCCGCAGCTTTCACTTGACTGGAATGAGTCACTCAGCTTGCCTCCTAGCACTGCGTTTGGCCCTTAGAGGAAAAAAGAAAACCGATGCAGGTGAGTATCATTTTGTTTTGCACCATGGTCAGCAATTGCACTGCACAAATTGATTATGCAAATGCACATGATTCGGTAACACAAGGAATAAAAAGTCATCAATCACATCCACTACAATTTCTCTTTCTTGGCCCTGCTTTACTGAAAACATGAAAATACCTGACCGGAACTGTAAACTTAAGCAAAGATGTAAACTCTTATATACTAGGGACAATTTGAAAAACTGGGGAGAAAATGGCAAAGACATATTAATAGGGAACAGCAAGAGCACAGTGGAGAAGTGTCTATTGAGAATGTACCTTTTAAACAGTTGTTCTTCTTGTACAGGTCAAGGGCTTGGGAAGGAGTTCATTTAGCTACAGAAACATGTCTTTTGTAGCTCCCTCAGGAAACAAAGGACAAGGAAAAGTTCTCCGTATAGACTATAAACCCATCACTGAAATCAAATATATAAACTGAATATATTAAAGCTTTGAACTTTATTACACTTAATTTCTTCTGAGTTATCTTACCCTTCTTTCCTGTTCAAGATAAACCTAAACATGAGAAATAGAAGGATAAAGGAGAACTCCACTAAATGTGGAGTACATTTCATCAGAGTCTGTGTAGGCCAGTTTGCCTCCCGTTACAACAATGTTTACTTCATCTCCTGCTTTGAGGTGAAGAACAAGGTGGAACGTCCCAGGACCACCACAGGTCCGTTTCCCCGAGTAGGGTTTGTGATACTCCAACAGTTCCCTTCTGTACCCAGCTGTGTGGAGCTGAGCCACACTTGCATTGGAGACGGACAGCACTGCTTCTACATACTCATCTCTCTCTGGGGCCAGCACGGCGGTGATCAGGTAGCGCCCTTCATATGGTGATGTGAAAATGCCTGCAGAAGAGAGACGGCTTTTCAGAGTTATTCAAAATGGGGATACCTGACCTCTCTAAGCACGATGACAAACATAAAGCTACATGGGTTATCCATCGCTACATACAGGTAACTGCACAAGGTCGGCCTTGATCAACTGGCAACAGTAATGAAGACAAAGGAGTGCTGCTTTTGTGTTAGAGGCCACCTGTCCTCCAGGACATGACCAGGTCTTGTCAACATTCAAAAACGTCCTGGCCTAAGCAGCTCCCATGACTTGGAGTTGGATGAAGGTGTGCACAGCTGGATGCTGTGCAAGTCCCCAGCAGGTTGAGGCACACCTAACACCCTCAAGTGACATGACACCCTGCTTGAGAAGGAGGCAGCCTGCAGGGATGGCCATTGGAGAGGCAGTGTGAGACACCCCCCTCCCACCTCTCCTCTGGGTGACCCAGCTGGCTAAGCTGCAGTGAAATCAGGATTAGTAAGTAAGGGTTAGGAAGAAATCTCACCTCTGCTACCTGGGCTCAGCTAGCCTGTGGTGGGGTTAGGAGCACAATCAGTTGTGCTGCCAGAGAAGACAAAGTGGTGAGCTGGGCCTCAGTAGTACTGGGCAGTTGTGGAAAACCAGCCATGGCAAAGTGTATGTCTGTCCACATCCACAGGAGGCTTTTACCCCAGTGCATCTGGTTTAAATGGACTTATTTTGTTGTTCAATGTGCCAGCAAGACCTGAAATAACCTCAAACCCTGAAAACCCATGCTACTGCCAGTCTATCATCTCTGTGGGTCCATATCTTTTGGCTATTACCTGTATTGGGGTTATAATAGTCCCCGTCATTCACAAGCACTTTGTTAAAGTGAACCACGCCAGCATCACTGGAGAAAGGCTTCTGTGTGAGCCCAGCAGAAAACGACACCAGAGAGGGTGCAGCAGCAGCAGCAGGTCCTAAAATGAGTAACAAAGTGAGTGAGAATCACATCAGGATGACAACACAGCCTTTTCCCTGTGACAGTTTATAATCCAATGTCTCTGTTCCTGCACATAACTCCCCTTAGACTAATCCTGTCTATTGAGGGATGCCAGAATTAGCAGAATACGTATTGCTGGCCCAGGTCCCAGGTGTCTCACCATAAAATTTACTGAGCACCATAAAGTTCCTGTGTTGATCACAGTCTTTTTTTTTTCCTTCTAAGAAAATAGTACATGGCTTCTAAATGCTGGCAGAGGAAATCCTGCCACGTTTCAATTCTACAATGCTTCTGCCAAAGTCCTTCTTCAGGACTGAGGTTGCCCTTCAACATCTCCACTCTCTGTCACTATTACAATGGCAACAGGAGTGCTAAAGGTGTTTAGCTCATGCCAGCTTTCCTGGTCATGCTGAGAAGCTACACACAGCTTAGATCTCCTACCTTCTCTGCCAAAGGGTAGTGAAAAGAGATATAAGAATATATAACATTTCAGTATTAATGCAAAGAGGCTATTCTCTCACTCTGGTACTTCCCTTTTGGGTGAATTTTCACTTCACAATTTTTTCTCCTTTTCTCAGCAGATCAAACAGACACTTAGGCATTTTATAGTGGCTATCTGCTTACTAGTAGTGTTTACGCTGCTGTTAGACTGGGCTGGATGAAATACAATTTGGACAATTAAGACAAATTTTTACTTTTAACAGACTGACTTAATGGCAAGTACTTAATACTCAACCACTTATTAGTCCCATTTTAGCTACCTTCCCTTTAAACATTTCCCCTAAGGCAGTACACACTGCTAGAAGTAGTCAACTCTTGTTGCTTTGTTCAGGCAATTAGGTAAACAACAAATGATCTTAAAGTTGTCCACAACTGCCGCTTCACCCTGCTCCTTCTGCCTTCCATAAAATAAATGTTTGCCTTTCCCCTCTCCCTCTTAATCAGAGGTGCCCATCAGCAACAAGTGCTGAATTCATTGAATCATAAAATATCCTGAACTGAAAGAGACCTGTTCAACCCCTGGTCCTGCACAGGAGAGCTCCAAGAATCACACTGTGTTCCTGAGAGTGTTGTCCAAACCCTTCTTAAACTCTGATAGGCTTCATACTGTGACCACTTCCCTGGGGAGCCCGTTCCAGTGCTCAGCCACCCTCTGGGTGAAAAGGCTTTTCCTAATATCCAATCTAATCCAGATTATAACACTTAAAAATTGAAGTTTAAAGGTGTAAAAACTTTTCCTAAAATGTAGATATACAAATGCTCTGCTATCCTATCCACTTTTTTTTCTGAATAACTCAGCATGGGGGAGTGGGAGGGGAAGGCAAGAGGAAGACATGCCTGCAAATTCAGAATTGGCAAATAACTACCTTGATTTCCCTTGGGGGCTGGTAACCAGCTGCCTCCTGTATCTTTAGAAATCTCATTCAGCATTTTGTCTCATGTTCAGAAAACAGACAGAAGCCCTTTTTCCTTACCCCTGCCTGCCAGTGTGCCTGCAGGTGCTCCGTAAGCTAAGATGAGGTTATTTGAAAGGACCAACATTAATTGCTGGAAGTCTACTTACTTAAGCAGCTTCTGTAGAATTCCACACTACTTAACACCAC